TAAAACGTAACATTAACCTTAAGCTAAATCTCGACCTAGACCTAAAACTTTACCAAAACCGTAACCCATTTTGTCCCCAAAAGCAAGGCGAGTCCCCACAATGTCACTGTGTAATCAGATTTATGTCGTCACAATACGGGGATAGCACGTCCACACACACACACACACCTGGATACTGCACACACTGACCTCAATTCTTGTGGTCTTTTCTGACTTGATTTTATTGACAAACACTAATTTTTGATGTGCTATTTGTGTGTAGCGTTGTATTGGGTGTCTTGTATGTTTTTTGTGGTGTATCTCTGTATTATGTCTTTTCCTTTTACTGTTTTATTGTCTTGTCCTTGTTTGACCTGCCAAGGGACTGCAGATGCAAATTAGCTTAAGCTACAATCTGGTACAGTGCATCGAATGGAGACATTTATGTTTAAACTGTACATGGTCCCTTTTAAATGAATTAAATAAATAAATAAATATGACAACAGTAGCTTACACACATGGTGGAAACATAAATCAGCCCCGATAATGACACGATGACGACCAAAAAGCACTGCCAGGTAACTCCATCAGGTGTGGGCAATAATGGAGCAGATATTTGCGGGTGGGGTGGAGTTTGACAAATACCTCTTTAACATTAACAACTTTATAAAGTTGAACAGGTAAAAGCTGGAGCCTTTCTTGTCCTGGCCTAAGTATGGCCTTATATTACCCATAGAAGTTGTATGTATATTTTGCAGTCTGTCAAAGCTGCTGTACTTAACACAACATTAGTTCTTTTCTCAGCTGAGTCATATTGTGATTCTGTACAGAGCAGCAGACTCTAAGGTTTGTAGCTCCTTAAACGTTATGACCATAGAAATAGGAGGAGAACGGACATTGAACTGTTTGCCGTGGTCATTTGACTAGTACAAAGGAAAATGGCAATTGTTATTAGTTACAATGGTGACAACACACGTCAGTGAGAGTGTTGTCTCAGCTTGCTGTCTCAAGAGCTGCATCCGGACGGCTGGCTAGTAAGCTTGGTAACTAGCTGAACTAACTTGTCCTTCTCTGCGATGGGGCGTGAGCCGGAGGGACCGTTGTAGCCAGCGGCCACCAGCCCACTGTTGGGCACCTTTACTTCACCAAGTGTGGCACGGTGGAATTAGCAAGCTAGCTAACCAGCCAGCTGTCTGCTAGTTAGCTAGCTAGCTTGCTAATTCCACAATATTTAAACGCTACACTAGTTACAGTAAATGAGCCGAACACAGTTGACACTTATATGGCGATAACAATGTGTTTTCCTTCGCTGTGATAAGAAAGTGCGGATCAAGCATTAAGTTGTTCAATTTTACTCATTTTCCGTGGTTCTCCACACTTCGTAACGTTACTAAACCCCTGCTTTCATAGTCGTTACTGCAAAACCTCACCTCAGTGAGCCCACCAGTCGCCGTGAATCTGTTTAGTTCATACGGCAGTTAGTGCGCCACAACGTTCGCAATGGCAATGGTACACATAAAAATGGCTGCCGCTCTGATCATCTAGCTACATTGATTTGATTTACATTGATTAATCCTATTTTATTTCTATGGTGTCTCAGATTGTTGTTAAGTCGGCAGCAGAGGTAGTCACAGAGATGATAACGGCCACTGAATTGAGACGCAGCCAATAATGTTAACTAGAATTAGTCATGTTGTGGTTTCCATCCATCTCTGACCAAAATGTCATCACTTCATCATTTTATCCTATTTGACATTTGTGTGAAATTGTCATATTTAGCATAGGAATTCTAAACTCATGGCCAAAAAACATATTTTGTAAGGTCACAGTGACCTTTGACCAGGAAATTCTAATCAGTTCAACCTTTAGTGCAACTACTGTAGATGGAGATCTACAAGACTACTTCGATGTGCTGAATGAATAAATTCATAATACGCTGATGGTGAAGTCAGAAGGTACTGTATTACAAGTGTATACCGATTGTCACATAGAACATGACATTGGCCGTGACTTACTAACATATATGGAAATTAATTTGAAGAATGGTTCACCATTGTGCAGTGCAGGTGGGCCTTATCGCTCAAAGCTTGGCAGCACATGTGAATTCTCATTTTAAAGCGACACGTGCACCCCAGACACACACACATACGGTAAAGACGCCGCTGGCACACCTGCGAGCGCACACGTTTGTTAACCTTGAAGTCTTTCATGGGTAGACGCGAAACACAATGGCGTGGAAGGTGAGCCGACGCGTTTGACTGCTTTTCTTTTACTGAGATTTCTGACACACATGGAGCGTGATGGGGAGCAGGATGTCAGGGGCAAGATAACCTGCCACCTTCCTTATTTCTCTTCAAATTATACCGAGACAAAGTTCTACGATTTGCATGAACTCGCTATTTGAATAGTTTATTCGGCTTCAATTTGTCATTCCATTATTTGCAATTAATTTGAACACAGCAACGGTCTGTGTGTTCGATCAACTGTGAAGAAGAGATGATTAAAAAATGTCTATGGGGAGAGAATATACACATGGATTCTGTGTGTCAAACCGTCAAAATAATGAAAAAATATTGATTGATATCCATCCAATTCCCATAACAGTCACTGAATTATCACTGTTTTTGAGAGGACAATAAATACATGAGGCAACACTATTTTCTATATATTTCGTCATTTCTTTTCCTTTTTGAAGAGCTTGCCATGGTCACATTAAGGACAAATCACAAACATTACCAACTCAATGAAGTCATTCATCAAACAGCGGGCAAAATAAAAAGAATTCATCTCATACACTGTAATTAGTTTCTCATCCCTCAAAAGCCCTCGTGCGTATTTCTTATAGAAGCGCTGGCCGTGTCATCGGGCCTTTTGCCAAATGTTTGCAGAAGCTTTCTCTTGTGGGTGCGTGATCACAATCTACGGTCTATTTACATGCAGCCTCCGTATCCGTGATTGAAGCACCTGTAAAATAGGCAATTTTACAGTCGCTGCGCCTAATCACTCACCTGTGGGTGGGAAATAACCTGCCCAGGCAAGCTGAGACCTGCCAGCCGGCTGTGAGTGCACTCCGTTTATGTGAGCATGTGTGTGTGTGTGTGTGTCCGCAAACCCGTTAATGTCAGTGAGCTTATACAGTAGATTAATTCATAAAGTATTGTACTGTATGGCTACTACCATGAACTGACCAGGGGCTTTGATCTTTAGGGATTTTTCTCTCTGTGACCGTTCAAAAAACAATTCCCCCAATTCATCTGCACCACATTTGATGACAGAAACTGGTTTCACCCATTGAACAATGACAAGCACCAAGGCCCTGTCTGTGTGTATATGTGCCAGCTTTTTCACACAACATGGGTTTTGCTTTATCAAAGTTAATTGCCCACTTACTCAACTCTATAGAGAAAAAACCTGCAGCAAAAAGAAATCCCAAAAGGTGAAAATTAAGAAATGACTGCCCACACGTGGGCACATATTACAACCCTGTCACTCTTGCAAGGGTGGTAACAAAGTGATTTTAAATACAATGTGGCAGCAAACAACGAGCAGAAATGGCAAGCAGCAGACAAATAAGTTATCCCTCCTGATCAAACCGCATTTTAAATGTGTGTACTTCTGCTATCGTTATTCTAACTGGTCAATATGTCTCCTGAAAGAAAGACGTTGTACTGAAATACATACCGGTCGAAATATCTTGCCACATGTCATTTATAAAAAGGAAAATTATGTCAATCAAATCTATTGAGCCCATGTCTACGGGATGAAACATGCACAGTCAGCTGTTTCAACAATGCAAAAGTAGGAGTAATAAACCAAATTTGACTCCCCTCTGTGTATGCATACTTTTGAAAAAGTTTGCTATTGACGATCATATAAATTAAATAAAAAGATAGAAACTGTGATTGTAATAGATCACTTTTACAGAAGGTGCTGCAGGTTTTTGTACTGGAACACATACTGGCCTTAATTTATTGCCACATAAATGTGATTAATAAAATGGAAATTATGTAAATCAAATTGATTGAACCTTTCCAAATTCAAATAAATTATGCACGGGGTGAAACATGCACAGTCATCTTTTTTGACATTGCACAAGCAGGAAAGAAAACTGCATCATGCCCACTAGAGCTGTATATCCTGAAACTGATGTGACAGAAAGGCAGCTGTTTTTTATTTCAAATTTCAAAGGGATCACTGCTAGGAGCATTTCTACACAAAACATATTTTAAAAAAAAGATAAAAATAGTGGGTCATTCACAACTTTAAGGCACCAAATGTAACATTGTGATAAACCAGCCACAGTGACGGAGCCTGGCAATGCCATGTCACAAATGTAGCTTTAATCTAGCGCGGCCACGGTTGAATTAGTAGAGCGAAACAGAACCCTATCGAAGAGGTGATTGACAGTCCTTAGTCCTGCGGTATAAAATGTCCAAGACTTAACTGAACTGAACACCACTTGTTATTAACTCTTTCTGGAAAACAAGAAACCTCGAGACACATTGTCTAATGTATCTTTCCACCAAAGTGAGAGTCTCAGTTGATACTTAGTCATTCTAGGTGGAGAATTGTGTTCCATTTTTCTATCAGCGACACCTACTTTTAATAGTAAGCAAAGCTTGTGTGTTGCGGAGTCACATTTTAAGCTAGTTTCAAATGAATAAAAAGCTAAATCGTGATCAGACAAGAGCCAGTGGGTTCTGAGATTGCATTTCTAGCATTTCAACCAAAGCCTATTCCAATGTGATTGGTCAATACTACACAGTCTACAAACAGAAACCAGCAAGCTTCCAATACCAATATCTTGTCCCGTTGCCTACAGATTGTGCATATGAATCCAGAATGTGTTTACAGAGATTACCACTAACTCAGACACAGATACTCATGGTTTAGTGCCCCATTTCCCTTATTTGGAATCCTAATACTGCATGTGCAAACAAATGAACTGTTCCTCTTCCTAGATAATGATTTAGCTTAATGGATCTGAGAGTCTCTGGACATAATTTACATAAGTTTCTTACCTGTTTGAGCTTCTTCAAGTCTTCATCCAACTCAAGATTGTCCAAGATTACAGCCACAAAAAGACTGAGCAGAATCTAAAATGCAACAAGAGACAGTGCATTAGAACACAATTGTGTTCACACACAATGCTGTGTGTGAACACATTACAAAGAGAGAGCACGGCTCTCAACGGCTCGCAACGGCTGAGTTGGCGGCTCGCAGCTGATAGCGCTAACAGTGCAAACATCCGCAACAGTGCAGACAGAGCTAACAGTCTTTACCTGAGGGGGAAGCGGAGGGTGGGCGACTTCACTATCTGCTCAGGAAGACATTACTCCACTATATCTTCACATAGCTAATAGTTGTTTGCTGCTATATTATTGCTCTGAATATGAAATTTAGCACCTTTAAAAACAATCGACCTTGCGGCTTCAGTGACCTTTCACAAGACATATAACTCTCTTTCCCTCGTAATTAGATTGGATTGGATTCCCTGCACCTTCAACTATTTTTCATTTTTAATGCCTCGTATATTTAGCTACAGGTTTCTGTGTGCTCTGTCAATGTTGCTGTATTAAATACACGTGCAGCCCCCTTGAGGCATGCTTTGTGATATCGGGTTCTGATAAACTTTGTCTCGACTTCTACTAAGTATGTGAACACGTCGCAATATGTAAATGTCATTATCCCCGTTTCCATTATTGAAATAAGACTTTTTTTTTTTTCTCCAAAAGTACAAAGTCTGCCTAGTAATTGCATTTGTTGCTTGTTCTGTTCTGGAGGACATCCTGTCTGTCTGGGCTGAAGCGTGAGTCATCCTGAGACCATCTGTGTTGTCTGAACGCTCCCCATATTCGAGGGCCAAACCGCCAAAATGTCAGGACTTCTTACGCCTGCAAGTCTGATCGACTGTGATTAGATGCACCACTTGAGAGCACACCGACAGGGCGCGGGGGCACTAATTGGATGCATTGAGAAAACTATTTATGTATCCTTTCGGCCACTAATTTTCAGCAACCCTGCTTTTACTGACCACAATAATGTGAATAATATGAGTGTGAAGAGATTACTGCAGTGAATTGCATCTCTTGCAACTTTTTTGACTTCTACATTTGAAATAGCACAGTGAGTACCTCACCAGGGTAGCGAACAGATGGTAGAGGATGAAGTAAATGGCTACTACGGGAGCCCACATGTGACCTACAGCCACCAGAGTCTGGTCCATGACATCCACCCAGCCCTCCTGGGTTAGGATCTGGAACATGGACATGAATGCCTACAGGGAGGAAAGCACAGGATAAGAGGGAGTGAGAGAGACAAAAGGCTACAGAGGGCAAGTGAGTGCGTGAGCGGTGAAGAGAGGGAGAGGAAATTACACCGAGGCAGAAGGATCTGACATTTGAAACATGCTTTTTTTTTTCTTTCGCAGGAGGGCAAATATCCCACAGCTGATCCCTTTCTGACCATTCCTCTCTAGGTAACAATGTTTGAAATATTATAGAGAGAAAGAAGAGAGGAAATGAGGAGCCATTTTTCTGTCCTGCTGCTCTCTAATTTACTTGGTAGAGGTCAGATAAAAGTGTAGGGAAGAGACACAGGCAACACCGTGGCCCCTGGAGTCAAATGGCATGCCTGTGCCTCCTCCTTAGTATCTCACCTCCAGACAGCCAGCCCCCCCACCCCCACCAGCCCCTCCCAGCTGCTCCCACGTCACCGCCGATGAAGATAAACCCAGCAACAGGTCGTTGCCTGTAGGGGGGAGACAGCCAAACATCATTAACTGTGATGCGGTGTGCGTCTTGTGTACCCATAAGGCACAGGCAGTGACGGAGACGAAGAGAGAGAATGAGAGCGAGCATACAAGTGGCATCTGTTTACGAGCAACCCCCCCGTGTCCCGCTGTGCCTGGGATCGGAGAAATGTTGGAGGGGGTGAGGAGGAATAAAAAAAAAAAAGAAAGGAGGATGGAAAGATGAGGCTAATGAGAGCGAAGGCGGCTCATGAGCACTTAGAAATCAAAGGAGGTACCCACATCTGTCGACCTCATCACGCAACCCATCATCGACATCTGCAGGCCTCTCCGCTGCTTGTCTGAGGTGTCACTCTGGAGCTGCTCGCATGAATTTATAAGTTTTGTATGTACCTGTATGTCCTGATTTTAACTGCATTGCATGTTTCCATTAGGGCATATTCAGAAGAGGTGCGTTTGGAGCAGTACAGTTTTTAAAGAGTTTACCCGTTTGGTCGGCGTTATTTGTGCAGGCGAAAACTACGCCATTCAAAATCAGATGGTTACTATATAACTGCTGATGTTGCATGAAAATGTTGGCTGAATAAAATAAATATTAAAAACTCTTTTCCTTCCCCACAAAGAATCACACAAAAGCACCACTTTAAATCTTGTTTTAAGATGTTTTAGAGACGTTCATGCTCGCAAGTTTCTTGGAAATAAATCATTCAGCATGAAAAAAAGCATAAAGCAATGAGTAATCGACTGAAGACATGTTAATAGACAAAGACCAAAACTGGAGCAGCCCTAAAAACCTACAAATGCAGCATTTGAGGGTATAATGGAAGATACGTTGACATCTGATAAGCAGCAGTCACTCACAGGAAGCCTTGCATAATACAATGCAAAGAGAGAAAATGACAACCTGCTGCAACGTATTCTCATCCACAACGTATTCTCACGGTCCACATGCTATCCTACGAACAGTTACTCCTCATTTTTGGTGTGCTTTCCTACGATAGCCAGCGACACGTTATTTTCCGCTCGCTACATACAGACGGTCTTTTCAAAATAAACGTCTGTCTTCACAGGAAACAACTCAGTCCGGTATAGTCAACAAAACTACTTATGTTTAGGAAAAGATCGTCGTTTGGGTGAAACTAACCACGGAATTGTCTTTACTGAAGTACGCGTAAGTCACGCCGAAACACGAAAAGCAGTCTCCTGGCTGAAAGATCGCTGTTGATTGCAAAAGCAAAAGTTACCCTGATTGGTTATTTAGACCTACTCTGTTCAATGAATCACCCATTTGGGCTTAGGTATGTGACTCAGGGTGAATCTGAAACAAGTTGTGATTCATTTAGGCACAGTTTACTGAAAAGAACACTTAAAAATAAGCAGAATCACACCGATAGAGGCTTTCTTTAATAAAGCTAATCCATACATACAGATTGCCCTCTTGGTGGGAGGGTGAGTGCGAGGGGTTCCTTACCCTGGGGAACGTGGTGAAGCGGTCCAGTTCCTCCACGAAGCAGAACATCTGCAGGCTGATGGCCGACATGACGATGAGGAGGCTGGCTGTGAACACCACCAGGCTGCCGAGTTTTTTACCCGGACCAAATATCTTATACACAAAGTCCTCCAGAGCCGGGGAGATCTTAATCAAACGCACGACACGTAGCACCTGAGGAGAGGAAAAGCATACACTGTGAGGTGACCGTTTGTGTAACCCTTGATTTTTTGGTCTTTGGGACAGTAGTTTGATAATCATGAGGAACACAGAGGTGGTATTTAAATAGATTACAATATAAATCAGCATTATAAAAGGAAACACAGGGGACAAAACAGGGCATTGATGTGGACCCAGTGGTAAAGGTGCACTGATACTGTGCTCTGTCAACGGGCTCAGTCCTGAAATTGCTTGCGGTAACAACAACCCCCTAAAGGTAATGCATACTGGTCTGACTCTGATCTGGGATCCAGAAGAGTGGCTATTGATCGAGCTCAGCACTGATGCCCCAGGCCAAAGATTTTTTCTTCACAATCCCGCTCTAAACCAAATGAATGGCTATCTCCCATTCCCTGGACACGCAGCAAAATAAAGGAGACAGACGGGGGGAGGCTGGTCTACAGGGGGATCCGACAGTAAACTAATACAGTAAGAACGCTCGCAGCATGATGACGGATGGGAATGGGAGGACATTATACCTTCTAGCCCTGACACACCGTGATGACCACTATCCATTTTACTACAGTTGCAAGCTCTGGGGCTGAGAGCAAACCATAAGAGGGTAGGTTCATCGAGGGTATGAGGCTATAAACATCTTCTCTCTTTTTTGTCCTAAGCATGAGAACTACACAGCTTGGGAATCTGAAAAGGCAGTGTGCAAAATACTTGATTGACACTTCAGACCCCCCCCTTTAAAATCCTCCAAAGCAAAATTTCAGCGGGCCTCCGAAATCATAACACAATTATTTGTCACTTGTAGTTACTAAAATGTCTTTTAAAAGTGTACTAAGAGATGTTTTCATTACTCAAACTGCAAAACATTTACTTGCAAATATGAATGAGAGACGTAAACGACACGGTCAGCCAGAGACGCGACAGGCTGCCACTAAAAGAGAGCCTGTCTTCATGTCTGTTCGTGATCGACAAATTGGATCCAGTGTCTTTCGTGAGAACCCGGATTAAAGCAGGACCCCGTCGCTCCTCTTCTTGGACACCAGGGTGGCGACAAGAAGAAGTGTGTGTGTGTGTGTCGGTGTGGGGTGTGTGCACGTGTGTCTGATTGGCTAGAGAGAGGCGAGTGCGCTGTGCGTATTCTGTTGCAGTAGTTGCGTCGTAGCGTTGTGTGTGTGGCTTTATTGTTAACGATATACGCCTCAGCGATGTGTGTGTACAGCACGGTTGCCTTTGCTTGCATCCATGAATATCTAACTATTTAGTTGCATATCTGAAAAACCGAAGAAATAAATGTGACTGTTTCAAGAGAAGAAAAAAAACCCCATATCTCGACTACTCATGCAGACATGAGAAGAGCAATAAACAATAAAATCTAATCAAAAGTAATTACTTTTACGAGAGGTTATCCCAATCACGGTGCAGGCTCAGGGCCAGATGTGCGAGCCGGAAACACGGCAAATAACAGACTGTTGTTTGCATGGCTGAATCAAAAGCTTGTTTTTTTTCCCCCCACAAAGAGGTTTGTGCGCCTGCTACCAATGATTAACTATAAACGACACTCGGAGAATGGCTCTCCAGCTGTGCCGCCTGTGTGTGCTTCTGGCTCCAGCCTCTTGCAAGACAAAGCAATGCTTAGCATAAAATTGAATTGCATTGTCGCCGTCACGGATATCCCATCCAGAATTTTTAAACCCGTATTGGCAAAATACCAATAACTAGAACCGGATCAGTGCACCCCCGCCAGAATTGTCCAAAAATGATACAACGCCCTGCCTTTTCGTATGAATGCATTGACTGAACTGTTAAATTGTGTTGCTACTGAAGTGTCGAGGTGGGTTGATTAAAAATCATTCTGCCAAGTGGGGTGTTTGCATTGTGACATTTGGTCCAAAGACAATTGGGGAGGCTCGTCTTAAGCAGTGAAAACACCCTTTGGTTGGATAAGATTAAGTAATTGGGTATGATTTATTGCTTTTTGATTTAAGACAACAAAGGTTTTCATACGACACGTTGGCATGCGTTTGCTTGAGCGTAAGCATTGCAAACGTGTGGATGGCAGCTGTTGAGAGAGTCAGACAGGATCAGGGCAGCTTGTACGGTCAAGGCTGATTGGAGACCCGTCAAGGAGCCCTTTCCCATCGGATCCTCCACGGAGATTTCCATCGACACAGCAAGGTCACGGGGTTACCCTTTGGACAGAGTACAGCACTTATAGGGTCTGGATGGATGATACTTCTACAAGGCGCCATTGCCACATGGGTCACAATATACAAAGTTGATTTATAGTTCTGCTTTGGGAACCGGACAAAAACTTTGTCAACAGGTGATGTGTTGCCACTTGCCGGTGTTTGTGCGTTTGTGAGTGAAGCAGTGCGAGTTAAAAGGGACTGCTAATAAAAACAAAACTAACATACCTAGTTTGACGCGTGCTGGATATGTAAAATGATTTTGTTAATCAAGAGGGTCATATCAAACTCAAAACTAATATTCAGCAGCACAAGCGCAACAGAGAGGCCGATGAGTGAGCGATTCAGAGATGTCGGGGTAATTCTCCCGTCTAACCTGGGAGGATTTGTGTAAATGTATTAGATTACTTGTCAGGGTTCAAGATTCACAACGTACTGTAAAGAGGTGGCAGTCGGAGCTTGGCGTTACAGTTACGGACACAAATGGGGAAGGCTCGAGAAGAGTGGACAAGAGGGGCTGTGATACGCCGACGAAGATGCCTCAGAGAAATTAATAGTGCCAGACCCGGCATCTAGTAGCACTACGACAGAGGTAAATATTACATTCTTCTCCATTGTTGTTATCATTACTCCGACAACGCGTAAGTCCTGATTGGCTAATTCTTAGTCACCCCGTGGTGCTCATTGGCTCCATCACCTCTTAATCGAGAAACCGCTGGTTCATGTATCGATGCGCAGAGACGAATCAGCTGACTTGAACTTGGTGGAGTGGGCAGATTTACATGTCTGGACCCAGGCAATGAAAAAGTGGGAAGTCAAAATACTTGACAACTGCCCTTTGGAGGATGGAAGATCACAGAATTTATAGACAAAAATAATGTAGATCACAACTACTAGACACATCTCTAGTGAGGACTAATGCGTCACACATTATTACTTCCACTTACAGAACGATCAGGACTTTCCCAGCTCTCTGCCTCACATACGGGGAGTTGAGGACTGCACATTAAGGCTCAGTTTTATGCAAAATATCACCTAAAACCCACCAGGGAACGACTCTTTTCACTGAACATATCAAATGTCCCTCAAAAATGGGTCACGACTGGAAAAATCACTTCACCAGATCTCTGTTCGACACTTGTGGTGTCGCTACATTTAAAGCATTTTGAATGAATAGTGGAGAGGTTGTAACACCGAAGAGTGATATGATTGATTCTCGCTCATTAATGCATGGTCACAGGAGAGAAATGTCACTAAATGATTCACGGCTTCTGCTCCACGCTGCAATTTTATCTGAAGGGAGGATGCTTCAGTTTCACATTTACGATATAAAGGGATTCATGTGTGTTTATACAGGCATGCTTATGTGCAAGTGCATACTGTAAAAATGTGTATGTGTGTGAGTGTGTGTGTGTATCTATACCTGAAAGTAGGTGAACTGAGAGTGGTAGAGGTAGGGGTAGATGTGCAGTGTGGTGCCCACCACCAACAGAGATTCAAACTTGTGCAGGGAGGAGCTGATGTAGCCGGTAAAGCCCAGACACCAGATTTTCAGAAGAGCCTCCAGGTCAAACAGCACAGTGAAGGCGACCTGGGGTGGAATGGAACAAACAGCAATCAGCGGTTCAGCGTTTTTACTCCCCGCCACCACAACTCTCTCTCAGCAAGATGCTGTTCCACAGCAGTTAAAGGAATACTTCACCCTTAAAAGGAACATTTTTTCTATATCAATTGCTTCCCGCGCACTACCTTGAATTCTTGAGGAAAACGTTTTATTTCTGTGGTTAAACTTGATCTCTGTTTACTTCAATTAATCAAGGATTTACTCTGTTTTTGCGGATTCTCCGTTCGCTGTGGAGGCATGTGAGAAAAATAAAGTTTTATCAAAGGTAATGCATGGATATACACAGGGTGACCATTTCTCCACCAATCCTTGTACAGGTTACATTTTTTATTAGAGACAGACAAACACGATATTGACATTAGAAAGAGTCATTTTGAAATGAATTTACCTGTCAGTACAATGTACTCAAACTTTACTTTTCCAATTCCTTCCTCTTTACTCTTCTACTGCAGTACATTTCAGAGGGACAACATTGTACTTTTCCTGCTACTTATTTGACAGCTATAGTTATTTTGAAGATTTATCAAAATATACGTTCAATTTATAAAACAATGCCTCACTAATGATTGAACTACCCAATGTTATAAAGTAGCTCAGCATCCACCAGCTACACCACTTAAATGCAGTTTTCCTGTACCGGAGATCGAAATAACAAAAGACGCCACCAGGTATGGGTATGGGAAATGCAGGTTGTAGCGTTTCTGGAGCTTGACCCAGAGCAGGGACTAAACATCGGGATAGCTTGTTCTCTGTGACATCGATTTTTACCTTTCTGTTTCAAACCTGTCTCTTGCTAGTCCCCTTTATGCGCCATATGAAATCCTTGGAGGACCCCTTTAAGTAAAGTAAAGCATCTGAATGCTTCTACCACCACTGTCTTCAGCAGGGGGAATACAGTAAAAAGGAGGGAATGAAATTGGCACCTCACCAATAAAGCGTGCATTTCTGCATTTACCTCTAAACCCAGTGCCTCCATTTTCTGTTTTTCCCTCCACAGCCTTCACACAGATTGGAACAAATCTGCAGATCGATGGCTGTATGATATGGATGGGGAGAGTGAGGGAAGGTAATATTGTGTCTGTTTCTTTTTCCTTCATTTTTCTTATCTCCTCCATTCAGCTGTGTGTGTGTGTGTGTGTGTGTGTGTGTGAGTGAGAGAGAGAGAGGTATGAAGGGGACGGAGGAGGTGATTATACTCCTTGCAGTCTTTGTTGGCACTTTACCACCTGCATACTGATGACATCAAACCAACCTGCTTGACACATACAGTGCAGTGTCGGGTGTACACTTTAAAACAAAAATCAAAATCAAAAGAGCTAATAAAGAAATATACATATACTAAAGCTGATTAATGAAAATGTCCATTATTGAAAAATGATAAATATACAAAGGTATGGATTATAACCTGTCTGGTACCCTCAAATCCCCAGTTGGACCATACATCACTAAAGTGGTAATATCACGAGGCACTCAGACTACGCAAGGATTAAATCCCTATTAATAACAGACCATGACATTACCGTGGAGGGCATTCCAAATAAGGACCTCTACTGTAGAGACAAACCCTTTGTCTGTGTCCTTTAATGGGTTTTTACCAAAAGATGATCTCATACTGTTTGTTATCTAATAAATCAAATTCAAACAAAGCTGTAAATTTAAGCCATGCTCGAAGGGCTTATGTCAATGTTAAACCCAGGGATCGAGGTTGACATTTGGAGTTGAAAGAAAAAGCAGGAAATTGAAGGAAAAAATCATCTCACCTCTGCCAGGTAAAACTCATCATAGTGCCGGCGGTAGTTCTCGCCTTTGTAGTAGTTGCTAGCGGCAACGATGACGTCCACGGCGACCATGCTCAAGATGAACATGTGGAACACAGAGGACCGCATCAGTTGCTGTGGAGACAGAGCTCGATTGCAATCAATGTCAATAGCACACGACGGGCAAAGAGGAAAGAAGAGGTGCGTGGGAAATGGACAGCCATTTTTATTTCGTTTCCCATTGAGCTTCATCAAACTCTGGTCTACGGATGTGAACCAGCAATACCAGGATAATAATAAAGTAAAGCATTATCTGAGATACATTTATTTTTCCAGTCTGATTGAAGGTTATAGCACATGATGGACAAACAGGAAGATAGGTAAGGTGTAATGTACCACAGAACAAGAGTGATTGTGAAAAACGGTGATGAGACTTAACTCTGCCTTTCCCTGAATGTAAATGTTGTGTTAATACCATCAATTATATATATATATATATATATTAGTGCTGGGCAACGATTAAAATTTGTAATCGCGATTAATCGCATTGTTATGCGCAAAGTTCAATAATGAATTCAAAAGTAGTGCATTGCACACTTTTATTTTAAAAGTACTGCTATATGAACAAAAGGTCAATAACATTTGTTTTATAAACACTTTAAACACATCAGGTTCTTGTTAACAGCAGTATTCCCTTTACACAGTAGCAGTTATAATACAGTTATAATGATTCTGATAATAGATATTCAGCCGGTGTTCACAACTTTATCTTCATGTGTGTAAGAGATGCAATTTAAATATACACCTTGAAAACTGCAAACATATCTACTTCTTTTTTTTAAATGTTTGTTAAATTCTCAGTAGCGATAACTAAATGATGCTTATTATACATATTCCAAACAAAAACACTTTAAAAACTCGACAATATGTATTTTAATATTGTCACTGTTGTAAACTGTTTGATTGCATGATTTACATTTATTGTGAAGAGCATGAAAACGGAAGTGCATTTACTTTGAAGAGACAGGAAGTAGAATGGTACGTGTTCTTGCTAACAATGTAGATGTATGTAGAAAACCACATGTCGGGTGCAAGAGTGCGTTGTGTTCACTGTAACACTGTAATACTGCAGTTCAGACAGTAAAGTATTCCGTTCAAACAACACGTGTCTTGGTCCTCACTAGAAGCTCCACTTCACAACAGTCACGTTTGATCCTGTAACGAGACGATTGCGCTCGCGCGTGTGTGCGTGTGTGTGTGTGTTTGTGAGACAAGAGTGAACGACTGTGACGGAGGGTAGGAGGGGTTCCGGACCCAGGGGGAAGAAGGAAGTGACGCCACATGAACACAGCTGTTCACTGCTTGCTGCCTGGTTCTCGCATTAAATATGTCCGCTTAATAAAAAAATTTAAAAGACTGCGTTAACGCGCGATAATATAATTGTCGGCATTAATTAATTAATGCGTTAACGAGATATTAACGCGTTAACTTGCCCAGCACTAATATATATATATACACACAACTCCAATGGATTTGAAACTAATCAGTCAATATGTGGTTTAAGTGAAGCCTTTCAGCTTTAATTCAATGGATAAAACAAAAAAAAATCACAATGACCGTTTAGGAATCACAGCCACTTTTACACAGCCACCCACATTTTCAGAGGCTCAAAAGTAATTGGACAATTATCTGACAAACGGTTTCATGGCCAGATGTGGTTTGTTCTGTCACTATTTCACGACAAATGATGCCGACAATAGGATTCAAAATGTTATATTTGCAGTTGGTAGTTGGTCCTTGGAACTCTCAGCATGCGGACCAAAAAGGTGTCAATGCAAGTGGAGAACATTATTAGGTTAAACATATTGGTGTACCTTGGTGAAGAAAAACCCCTTCATAACATCTACTGAAGTCAAGAACACTCTGGAGGATGTTGGCGCATCATTGTTAAAGTCTACAATCAAGAGACGCCTTCAAGAATCTAAATACAGAGGGTTTACAACAAGGTGAAAACCACTGGTAACACTGAAGAACAGGAAGGCCTGATTAGACTTCAACAGAAAACATCTGAAAAAGCCTGACCAGTTTGGGAAAAAGGTTCTTTGGACAGATGAAACCAAGATGAACTTGTACCAGAATGATGGGAAGAGAAAAGTGTGGAGAAGGAAAGGAACGGCTCATGATCCAAAGCAAACCACATCATCTGTCTAACATGGTGAAGGCAGTGCTTTGGATGGGCATGTATGGCTGTCAATGGAACTGGGTCACTGGTGTTCATTGGTGATGTCACAGCTGATAGAAGCAGCAGGATGAGTTCTGAGGTGTTTAGGGCTAAACTATCTGCTCAGATTCAGCCTAATGCTACAAAACTGATTGGATGGCGCCTCACAGTGCAGATGGATAATGACCTAAAACATACTGTGAACACAACCCAAGAGCTTCTTATGGCAAAGGAATGGAATATTTTTCAATGTCCAAGTCAGTCACCTGATGTCAACCCAAGTGAGCAGGCTTCTCACTTACTGAAGATAAAACTGAAGGCAGAAAGACCCACAAACAAGCAGCAGCTGAAGGAGGCTGCAGTAAAAGGTCTGGCAAAGCATCTCCAGGGAGGAAACTCACCGTTTTTGGTGATGTCTATGGGTGCCAGACTTCAGGCAATCATTGACTGCAATGGATTTTCCTCCAAGTATTAAACATAATGATTATATTCACAATTATGTTAGTTTGTCCAATTACTTTTGAGCCTCTGAAAATAGGGACAACTGTGTAGAAATGGCTGTGATTCCTAAATGGTCATTGTGATTGTTTTGTTTTATCCATTGAATTAAAGCTGAAAGTCTTCACTTCAACCATATATTGACTGATTAGTTTCAAATCCATTGGAGTTGTGTAAATTAGCAAAATTAGAAAGATTGTGTCATAGTCCAAATACTTATGGCCCTGTATATATATATATAGCTTCCGAGAGCACAGACTGGAAGACAGACAATATACAGTACATGTGATGGCACAGACACAGGTTCTTTCTTTTTCTGAGCTGCCAACTATACACCGTACTGTATATTACAAGGTGGAAACAGGCAAAGAGGGAGGGCCGGCAGCTAAACGGCAGGCAATTCAAAGCAATCAGGAGCCTTTCATTGGTCGCTGGGAGAAACATCCACCCAGACAGCAGAATCAGTGTGCATTCAGACAGCCTGGAAACAAGAAAGGAAAGGGGCGAGAAACGTACGTTATTTCCCGTGGGGGATATCAGGGGCATTGAACAGCTCAAAGTTGGGACTGAAAAGAATGGGAGGGGAAACAACCCCCCCCCCCCCAAAAAAAGAATGTTTGGACAAAAACTTGCACTCCTCACTTAGACAAACACCGGAACGTATGAAGGATGTGATCGCAGCCTTGATCCACATGTATGTGGCATAACGAACAGCTTGAGAGTGGGTAGAATAGCTCACCCTAAAAAAAGACATGCACGTGAGACTGGAAATAGGAAGGGTTGGAAAAGTGAAGAGAGAAAAAAGCGAGGAAGACTTTAGGAAAGATGAAGAGTGTTTGGAAAGATCAAATTCTGGAAAATGGGACCACTGCCATCTACCCTCCTACACACAGATACACTAACAGTGCAAACTCCTTAGCCTCTAGAAAGCCTGATCCACAATTGGTAATCAGAGAAAGAGTAATGATGACGGAACTCGTGTATGTAATCATCTGATGGAACTTTGAACTTGGGTGGATGATTCATTGGCGTTTTAAGGAACTAAAAAAAAGTGTAAAAAAAAAAAAAAAAATCATACTTAGTGACAAACGGAAAGAGCAGGAGATTTAGAGAGAATGTCATCACCAGAAAAAAATGGCAGCATTTTAACACATATGGTGACTTTTATTTGTGTTTATCTGACAAGGTCCTCTTATTATTATTATTTCTGAAAGGTCGGAGCGAGTAGCACAATTGTTAAAGCACTTTAAAATGCCACTGGGAGGAGGTTAGAATTACAGTTATGCTTCTCTCTTCTTTAAATAACAAAATTACAGTCATTTAAAACTTTCCTACATTTCTACACCACCTAACCTCTTGAATTAAGTCAAAAACACAGCCACCTGCACTAATCTTAGTTAGATTGAGGGTGCTATGAAAACCAAAAACGCCGAAAAGGGCCGACTCTTTGATTCGGCTCCTTAGCGAATGTCCCGTCTCCTCAGCCAAAACCTGTCCGATCAGCGAGCTTACCATAGGTGGGCTTGCTGGCAAAGTTAGCTAACATAGACGGGCTGATCCGTCCGGCATTTCGGCAACAGTACGAACATTCTTTCTGCTAATCTTTGGTTGGAGTCGGTAGACCAAGCAGATTCAATAAATATACGCTTCTCTTTTCCTTATGTCTACATTGAGTCCATGATTGCAGTGAAACTAAACTATTATTATTGTTATATTATTATTATTATTAGGAAAAAAAGAAGCTTCTACTCCACTTGCTCTGGCGCCTCTGCCTGTAGCCACGCCCAGCGGTGATGTCACAGTGTATGGACACGCCCCAGAGTAAACGCCTACATCACTGCAGAGGGGGCGAGAAGTTAAACTGCTGGTGCTCCGTGCAAACAAGATTTAAAGCTGGCGTGAAGTTTTATGAGGTCGTATTTTCTGCTCTTTAGTCTCGTCTTTTTGTCTTATTGTTTTTAATTTATTAGCTTGTTGTTGAGCACAACATTCCATTCACTGTTGTCGCAAATGTGAATTCTTGTCATCGTGTAAACTCAACCCAGACTAATACAGCTGCTAGTCTTTGTTGTTTTAGCACAACTCTACACACACAGTGGTTACGCTCTCTGACTGAGATTGGACGTGACAAAGCAGTTTGACATTTCCAGCAACCAGACGCTCTCCCCCATGGGTGTTTTGGCTGAACGGAGTTGTGTGTGTGTGTGTGAGGGAAGGAGGGGGAGATAGAGGCAAACTGACAGAGAACAGAAAGTGGATGCTTGTGCGTATGAATTGGTTTTCTCAAGGTCCTGACTTTGCCCATATTCCCTGTCAGCTTTTGGGAATCAAACAGATACAGCCAGCCCATCCAGCTCTAACACAAAATCACATTTTTAATCTTTCAGTCACATTCCTGTTCATTAATTTTTTTCCA